GTTTGTCACACATCTGTCAGTGACAGTTAGCAGGGGCAGCCCCACTCACACAGACATGTTTGTCACAGAGTTCCCTGCATCTAAAACCCGGTGGAAACCACTCCAGGTGTGTAGGCTTGCCGTTTGCTAGTCACCCGTGGAAGTGGGGATGTCCCATTTGTTTGTGATGTATTCTTCTGCCAACTAAATCTGATAGTGAATGTGAGAGTCTACCAAGGCATGAATTAGTATGGCTTTCGCGTTAGCGCCTTCCTGCCCAGCCTTTCTCTTCCCACCCAGTGGAATGCCTGGGAGTTTCAATGGAAATCCACCTCACTTGAGCGGAGATATGGCTTCTTCCTACATGCTTAACTCAGACAAAAGTGAGTGTCTTCTAATGAGCTTTCAGAAAGTGGAGCATTCCAGGGGGGTTCCGTGAGGTGGGGCATAGGGAGACAGAAGCTCTCACCATGGTCGCCATCCCATCCTGTGTGCTGCAAAGCGCCATCTCACCAGTTAGGTAAAAATCACTTCATGTTCTTTCCTTTGATTCCCTAGAAGAGTTCCAGAATTACATTTCTACTCCACAGACAGGCGTAATTTGTGACTATTTTTTAACACAAAGAGATCATCTAATAAAAAGAAGGAAAAGTTTTCTATATTTTTATATAAGTATTTAATGTATCCACATAAAGTAGAAGTAATAAAAAAAATTTCCCTCATGGAAATCAAAATTAGGATGTTTGGAAATTGGAAATTAGGTTGTGTTTCCAAATTAGTAATGACCATCAAGACCCCCAGACTCTGAAGGCCAAGGTGTTCTTGGGGGCTATCTATCCAACTCCTGCATTGTGAGGAAGTTGAAATTCAACACAGTCAATTAGGACTTTGGTCTGAAGTTAGACAGCAAGGCAAAGGAACAATGTCGTCTAGAACCAGGGCATTTTTTAACACCCCCAGTGCCAAGTTAGCCACTCATCAAGGTTAACCCTTGGTTAAGGTGACCAGATTTTAATACTGGTAAAGAGGACACCAATGGGAGGGGGAGGTTCTTAATTAAAAATTTGGTCTATATGGAGCAACAAAAATTTTCATAGAATGCAAAAATAGTATTGTAATATATTTTTTTAATTTCAAAATAAGTATAATTTACAAATATAATACATTAAGAAATTATGTATAGTATTATTTTATTCTTTGGCATATTTCTCACTTCAGTGATTTTTTTTAGTAGATTGCTGCCATTGTTTACAAGGTCATGAAATTTTTCACAAGAATTTGTTAACTTATATTTCACACATAAAATGGCTTTCAAAGTCTCAACACTTAATTGTGATTTTTCTGATGTCCACACTTTATCTACCATAGAAAAAATGTGTTCAGTCCCAGCATTAGTTCCTGGTAAGGACAGCACATATCCCATAATTTTTAGTGCATTATTGTATGGAACATGGTTTGTTTCAAAATGATGAAATATTTCTAACCATTCGTTCTCTATTGTGATTTTTGCTGATGCCCAAGATTTAACCTTTTCCTTATCAATATATATTTTTAATAATGATACCTCATAAGTCATAGGTGTCACTTTCAAGGCTGGCACTGGACTTTTTGCTGCCACTATAAAATGTAAATAATACGAGTACTGTCTGCTAAATTCATGAAATAAATAAATAATCTAAATTATCTGAATAGCTGATTTGTTGACAACACTTGTTTAGCACTAGCAAGCTGTACGATGTGTATTGTCTGAGAGACAGTTACAAAATGTTTTCCTTGTTGCCAATGCCAAAAAATGCCATTGTTCATTAATTCCAAACAACGGTGGTCGAATTCTAACAACTGATCAACAATGTGAACAATGTGAAGCAGTTCTCGATAATCAGCTCTTAACAATTATTTGCTATTATTAAAGTTTAACATTATAAAATTAACAAAAATAATATAAAACTCATATCCTGGAGAAATAGCCACATGGCAGCTGAAAACCGTATATTCCCTTCCCGTTCTCCCGCCGTTCCCTAGCTTGCCCTGCACTCTTTCCAAAAATTGAGACTTTTTTAAAACACCACAGGACACGTGACAAATTGTTAAAAATTGGGACTGTCCCGCCAAAAGCGGGACATCTGGTCACCTTACCCCTGGTTGCCTTATCTGATGACAGCCCATGCACTGTACACTCTCCCAGCAGGAGCTCTCAAAAGAGAGATGGCTGGTGATAAACCATCCAGTGTTTTCCACTGATGAGAAGCACCTTGGAATCCTGCTAGTCAACAGTGCAAGTTTTAGCAACAATTGGCTATGGCATTGTTTGATCATGGCCAGATTCACAGCAGTCAGGCCAAATTCCCAAATGATGCCCTCCAACCTCTCACCTTTGAGGAGGTTCAAATGATCCTTCCCACCATCCCATTGGCCCGTGGCACATCCCAGCCTCCTGACTGTCCCCTGTATGGCACCGTGTCCTTACTGCTACAGCTATTCTCATTCCAAGCAGTCACGAGAGAAGATTTTGTGAAACTTCTGTTCTTTTTAAAAAATCGCCAGTACCCGCACACAAAATCGGTTGTTTCCCAACAAATATCCTTTTCAAGTCTTCACACCTTTGGTTTGACTGAAATGCCTTACACAGCTTCCCTACGTGGCTAATCCCTACATACCCCTCAGTATCTATGTGAGCTGTCAGATACAGAGAAGCCTCCTGTGGTCCTGTCCACTGGGAGGAGTGCCCTTTCTGGGCTCAGTGTCCTCACAGAGGAGACATGTACAAAGACCTGACTTCTTCCTAGAGCCTCTGTCAAGCCGGTGACCAAACATTGTCCAAAAAATGATAGGCCCATTGATATTTAATAATAATGGAAGGAAGGAATATTCATTCCAACCTTAAGGAGGAATGATCAGGACACCACTATTATTATTGATATTGGAATATTCTTTCTGCTCACTTTGAGAATAAAGTTGTGCCACATTAATCTGATCTCTTTCATTGGAATCTTTTTCTAGGAATTTATTATTTTGTAAATGAGGGTTACTTAATACTGTTGAGGCTCAGAAGACAATACCCCAAAATTAAGGTCTCAGAAGCAGCAACAGCAGCAAAAGTTTTATTCTCCAAAGTTCTTCTGCCCTCACAGTCCCATCTTCCCTCAAGGTTAGGTGTAAAAAACCAGAACTCTCTTCCCCAAGGCAGGTCATAGCAATCAGAATCCCTTTTCCTGAGACCAGCCATGAAACCTAAATATGTTAGTCTAACTTTCCCTCTGCCTTTGTTTTAAAAATGGCCATAATGAAATTACCTGATGTACCTCTTGAGTATAGGCCCACAGAGGGCCCTGCCCCATAGCCAGAAGGAAGGACACTCCAGAGAGGTGCAGGGAATCTGTGCAGATAGGCCTTGCGTGGTCCCCACTCAATTTATTACATTGGTTCATATCCTCTTTGTCTCACCTTATTTCTACAGAGCTGTCCATACTCTGTTGAACTTAAACACAAAAATGGACAATTCTCCCTGTTTCTTTGGATCTTTAATCTAAAGACTCTCATCTATACATGTCAAATAAACTTGTATGCCTTTTTTACTATTAATCTGGTATTTTTAGTTTATTTTTTAAGCAACCCTGCAGAGGGCCAATGAGTCCCTGCAGTACCAAAAACAAAACACAAAGTGGCCGTAGGCTCACAGCCTTAACCTCTACAATATCTTAGCATAAGGGAAGGGGTAAAATTCTGAATTTCTATTCAGAAGATTAATCTGTGTATGTTTTTGTTACATATAAAACATGCTGCAGGCTTTTGGTTGACATGTGCAAACAGCTCCCCTGAGATTTATTAATAAGCCCTGTGGAATTGAAAGCTGGATAGAAGGAGTAATTGAAATGTGAGGAGATGTGAAATCAGTAAGACCTTCATTTGTAGAGAATATACTTTATTCTAAATTCTAATAAAATTTCATTTTCACTTTTGCTGGAAGCCTTATGCTGCTGCAAGGGCAAATATAAACCTCAGAAGAAATTTTCAAACTTTCCCTAATGAAAAGGTAAAAGAGACCTCCCCCCTTTTCATAGAGAATTTCCCTTAGGAAAGCGGTCATTGTAAATCTTTCCAAGTCCCTCTGAGGTGCGTATAAATCTTTTAAAAAGCTAAATAAGCTTCTCTCCAGTTTTACAACCAGAGATGTTTTTCTCATGGGCTTGGGGGCCTTTGAAATGTAATTGTCGATGAAATTAGTGCTTTCATCCCACCCTTTTGGTGAAAGAGTAAGACTTTAATTTAGGTGCTGACTCCTACTTGTAAAGCTTTACTTTGTTGTCAAAGAGCAGTGAGAAATTCTATTATTCTTCTGAATAAAGGCAATTAACTAACACAGATTGCCAGCTTCATTCACCAGGTGAAGTCAGGATGAACTCTATGTGATCAAGCTCTTAACTCCTTCTTAATTGAGTACTAATTATTGTTTATTCTGAGAAAATATAAACATTGGATTCATCTGCCTGGCTACAGACAAGGGTTAGACTGCTCTCAGTTTTTGTACCCCCCTCAGCAACTGTAAGTGATGAGTATCACTGTCCTTCATGCTTATTCAATAACAAAATAACAAACATAACAAAAATTCTACTTTTGTGAAGAGGTTTTCTGGATGATAGGAGATTTTTGCTTATAATTATTTACTAACACTATCAGCAAACTTCTAATATGCTATATTTTAAGATACTAGGCATTTATGAAAATGATTTTCTCTAACTTTATTTTTAAAAAATTGGCAACCACAATAAGAAAAGGAAATATTGTGATTCAGTCACTCCTGATGGTTCAGTAAAGAATGGACTTTACAGGTCTTATGGCCCCATATGTAAATATTCGGATTCTTGTTTTTTGAAGAAAAAGGATAAAATGCACTTATATATTTGTGTGTGTGTATATATATATATATGTTACATACATATGTGCATAATACATACATGTATATTACAGACAGATGTGTATATTATGTAAATATGAAATAAATTGCTGTCAGGCCTATGAAGTGTGGCACTGCAGAACTCTTATGAACCCAATAATTGTAAAGGAATTTTTATTCCTCCAGTGTATTTTTGGAGCATCTATTTTTATGTAAATGACACTGGACAAGCCTGATATTTCTTTTTCCTTCTTGCACCAATTGTAGATATTTTAGAAGTAAAATAGTCAAAATATTTAAATTGTTATGACATTCAGGATGGTCAACACTATTATTTGCCTCACTTTCTAACAATGAACAACTTTGCTTGAGAAATTAATTCTTACCAGCATGTCAACTATTTCCTTTGGCAATCCAAAATGCATTGCTCAATCATTTGAGGTTTATTAAGCCAGTTTTAGGATGTATCTGGAAACAAAACAAGCCACACACATGTGAGAAATGACAATTAAGTTCTAGAAATCATCCTAGAAAAAGTGCTACATACCTCATTGCTGAATGTTAATATGGTCATCCTCACAGTACTCACACTGGGAAGCCTTGCACTGATGCCAGTGCCTAGTCCACCCTTCAAAGCAATTTTGGAACTCTTTTTCTGGAATGACCATCAGAGCTCTCATAATATTACCCTTGAACTCCTAAATGTCATCAAAGTGTCTTTCTTTCAATAGTTCTTTTATTTTTTGGTGAA